GAGGGTGGTTGAGTTATAAGGTGAGAAGGGGAAGTTGATGAGTCATGGAGATGGAGAGTGAGGTGAGGAAGCAAACAGATGCAACACATGTAGAAGGAACGGCATGAAATGAAGGGCCTGGACAACGTGGAACGTCGAGAGAGCGGGAGAGAGAGAGAGAGAGAGCGGGGGAGAGAACTAGGCTGCTCCGTTGTCACTTCCACATGATTAAGCAATTAGCTATTTGAGATGTCTCCACTGAGCTGCTGCAGCCAGACAGGAGTGGTTAGTGAGAACATAATCCTCTGCTCTCCTGCGTTCTTCCTCCTCACTCTCACTGAACTGATGTGTTTACGTGTGTGTGTACGTACCTATGTGTGTGTGTGTGTGTGCACCTGTGCAGCAATCAGCCTGCACCAACCTGTTTACATCACATTTGTTTTCTCTGCCTCCTAACGTTTCTCCACAGCCAAAACATCCATGTACACACACACACACACACACACACACACACACACTGTCAGGCCCTCTGTGTGTGTGTGTGGTGGCCTCATCAGTTGTAATGTGACACCTGTCTGTACAGTTGATCCTCAGACCTGTCACACTGGCTTCATATCAGGCTGCGTTTAACAAACAAAAATGTCTCCTTAATCCAGGTAAACACAGGTGAGGCAAACAGTCAAACACCCTGACCTCAAAGCCACGGCCCGTGGACCACATCTGGTACAGGCTGAAGGCTGAAGGCACAGCTGTACTGTGGCCACTTCCTGAACGGCCACACGGGGACTTCCTGTGGCCTGAACTCCTGTCTTAATGTGAAAGGTTCAAGTCAACGTCTGCTGTGATTGGCCACCGTACACCCCCGCTCTGTGATGACATCATCGTCGGGTGGAAACAGCACAGAAATGATGGGACGAGGCCGTCAGTTTGGGTGAGTCAACGTGAGTGTGTGTGAGTGTGTGAGAGACGCCTTCATCTCCTGTATCAACACTGAGTCTTCAGTGTGTGTGTGAGTCAGTCAGTCAGTCAGTCAGTCAGTCAGTCAGTACAGTCAGTCAGTCAGTCAGTCAGTACAGTCAGTCAGTCAGTCAGTCAGTACAGTCAGTCAGTCAGTCAGTCAGTACAGTCAGTCAGTCAGTCAGTCAGT